GCTAGTATGAGACACCTTGCTGGACCACTGGTCCACAAAATGGGCCTTGGGAAATCTGAAATGGGCCAAGCCCCTCATTGGGCAGATGAAGATGGGAGAAGGACCTTGCTGAAGGCCATCTAGTGAGTTAACAGTGGAATTGGGACTCAAACCCAGGCCTTTTCAGCTCCCCAATACTTCCTGCTACCACCATATTGCTTTATAATGTCAAAGGGGATGAGATTCAGGCTGGAGGAAGAGTGGGCTGAACCAATGTCAAATGGGCATGAGGAGGAAGGAGGGTTGGGACACCCCCTCTACCTAAATGTCCCAGAGGAGAACTATCCTTGGGGCTATTTCATTTATACAATTTCCTCAAGGTAGAAAAACTGGAAGCATTTTTTTACCAGTTGAAAAAAAGAAGTCCTAAGTGTCCCAAAGTTAGAAAAATTATCAATGTCTGAACACAGTGGTTCCAAAACCTGTCTGATCATTAAAATCACCCAGGAAACTTCTTCAGATGCAAATTTCTGGGCTAGGTACGGTGGGGTGGCTCGTGCCTGTAATCCTAACACTCCGGGAGCCCAAGGCAAGAGGAGGTGAGGAATTTGAGATCAGTCTGAGCAAGAGTGAGACCTCATCTCTACAAAAAGTAAAAAAATGAGTCAGGCATGGTGGTGCACAACTGTAGTCCCAGTTACTCAGGAGGCTGAGACAGGAGGATCACTTGATCCCAGGGAGATTGCAGTGAGCTGTGATCACACCACTGCCCTCCATTCCAGGCAATAGACCTTTCTCAAAAAAAGTGTGTGGGGGGGAGGGGTTCTGAATCCTATCCCAGAGGTTCTGATTCAGTAGGTATAAAGGGAGGCCCTGAAATCTATATTTTGAGAAATATCCACAGGTCACTTGATCACTTGATAAAAGTCATCATCCATTCCAGATGTTTAAAAATCTTAACAAAATAGACCAGGCGTGGTGGCTCATGATTGTAATCCTAGCATTCTGGGAGGCTTAGGCAGGCAAATCCCTTGAGCTCAGGAGTTTGAGACCAACCTGAACAAGAGTGAGACCTTGTCTCTACTAAAAATACAAAAAAATTAACTGGTCATTGTGGCAGGTTCCTGTAGGTCCAGCTACTCAGGAGGCTGAGGGAGGAGGATGGCTTGAACCCAGGAGTTTGAGGTTTCTGTGAACTAGGCTGATACCACAGCAGTCTAGCCTGGAGCAACAAAATGAGACTCTTTCTCAAAAAAGAAAAATCTCCATATACAGGAAACATATGGAGTCTTTTTAATATAAGTGTATGTGGCTATAAATATCAATGTACCTCTCGAGCTAGTATTTGCTAATTTGGAATGCTGCAAGATTTCTATTAATGTCAGGAACGAGACAGGGATATCCACCATCATCTGTATAAGTGAACATTGTCTAGGAGATACTGGCCAAAGCAGCTAGAGAAGAAAAAAGAAGAGATAGAAAAATAAAAGACAATTTATGTTTTGCAGGTGATGTAAATATATCTGGAAAACTTAAGAGAATCATTTAAATCTATCACACAAACATTAGGGATTTTGGTGAGGTTGCTGTATGTGCAGGTGCAAGAACCCTTGCCTCAGTGCGCGGTGGTGATCAGGACCACGGAGAGCTCCCCCCATCTAGCCTAAGGGTTTCCTTCAACACTTGGGGTTGGTCAATATGAAGAGGAATCCTATGAGCCACCTTCTGCTACAACCTGGTCTCTGGGGAGGTGCTTTCGTCAGACAGAAGCTTAACATCTCACCTTTTGGTCAGCCACTGCAGATAGGTCTTTCCCTCCAGAATTAGGCTTGTGTTGAACCAGCCATAGCTAGAATCACAGCAGGCAAAAGGCAGAATCAGAGCTAGATCAGAAGGCTGTCAAATAGAGGTGGGAGCAATGTTGTCCTGTGGGCTCCCAAAG